CGAGCCGTCTGCGGACACGGCGACGCGGGCGACTGCGCGGGCGGCGCTCCGCTCACACTCGCTCTTCCCGGACGCAGCTCCTCTTTTTTTTTTTTTTCTTACCCCCCTTCATTTCCCAGACACAGCTGATCGAGTTCGCCCCGTGACCAAGAGAGCGAGCGCTTCTCGGACTTGGGTGAAGGAAGGCGCGGAAAAGTATTCTGGAGAAAAAGTGGAGTTTTTAGGGGTGGGGTGGTATAGCAGGACGGAGTGGGGATCCTCAGATCATTCCACTTTTGAAATGATCATAGGTAGTATCAAGGATACATGTCACCCATTGCTTTTGAAAGGGGAGGTGGACAATAAAATACAGGTAGGTTTGGGATTAAAACAATAGGTGCCAGAAGTTTCACACCCGCTCCGCTGAATCTGGTATTAGAAGATCAGCATTGGCTGAGTCCCAGTCAACGGCCCGTCAAAATTATTAAGAAGAATCCTTGCCCGTGGTTACCTCTGACAACGTTATTTGGATAGTAGGTACAGCAGCCTTAAAGAAAATGTTAACAAACATTACGTCGCGATTACCTCTCACTCACTCACCCCAGAATAACCAAAGAAAGAGGTTTCAAACAGGAGTTACACAGTTTTGACGCCTGGGTGACAAACTTTAACATTTATTAGGTAAGGAATTGCAAACGCTTAAATTTCGGGGTTCAACGTGAAATCATAGAAAATTCACTTTGTTTTGACTTTTCTTTGATGAAAAATAACCGGCAAGATTCCTATAGATAATGTGGCTCTTAAAGAGCTCCTTGGGGTTTGCAAGTTACAAAAAAAAAAAAATGCAGAGGACGGAGCTTCCAGCCGCAGCCAGAAGATCTCTTTCTCCCGGCACAGTAAACGGCTTTTAATGAAGCCACCGCGATTATGACTTAAAGGTTCTGTAAAAGCTAGGACTTGCAAGGGCTGCGAAGCAGATACATTCATACCTAGTCCATCAGACACTCATGTTATTAGGTAGTATGGGGACAAGTATTTTTCGTGTGTTCCTCGAATTTAATCCGATCAAAGGTTGAATCATGTTGCGCTGTGACAAGTGTTGATGTGTGTTACAGGGGCAGAATACTGCCACCAGCTTCTGCAACACACACGCACACACACACACACACACACACACACACTCCTTTCCTAGGGCATTTACCATTTCATCCTCAAATTCATCAAACTGTGAAGAAGTCGTCTTTTTGAATAAGAATAGCGATGATAATATGGCCAAGTCTATATCCTGCAGGAAACTTTTGTCATGGGATCCAAACATTGAAAAGAAGAGAAAAAAATGTCAGGCGGGCCAGGTTAGGTGTCCGGGATAAGAAAAGAGACTTGCTTGAGCATCCGGAGCCTTCATTCTGAGTCTTCATTCCTTCCCTTCAGCTGCCTGCAGACACTCCCTCCACCCCATTACTGAAAGAACAGACTCCCGCAAACAAACCACTCACACTTCCAGGGATCGGTTATTGTATCAAGTGTTCTAATCGAGATGTGACAGTTTAGGCTGGGAACATAATCTATCAACATGCCCATTAGATGCAGGATGGAATAATGTTTCTATTGGTTGGGTCCTTTCGAGGTAAGCGGGTGTATTGAAGAGGGAAATTTGGGTTCTGTGAATGGATCAAGGCTACTTCCTTCCTTTCTTTTTTTTTTTTTTTGTCCTATTATTTTCTTGAAGTATCCCAGTTTGTACCTAGGTTAGAGCCAGCCCACACATAAACTGGTAGGAGTAAAGGATATATGCCCTCCACACCTTAAAACCATCTGCTCAGTTTGACATTTAAAAGGGAGGAGGGCAGGAAGGGGGAGCGAGAAGGGGGAAGAAAGGAAGCGGAGAGAGAAAAGATTCAGACTGGAAGGAATGGCTTGAACTGTAGCCCACAAGTTTATGTCAATTGCGCCTAGCGCTCTGATGCACCTTTTGCACACATTACGCTCGGGAACTGACAGCGGGAAAAGTTCCCTGCGAGCCCCAGTTAAGTGCTTTATCACTCCCTGGGGAAGGCAGGCCCGAGTCGAAGTCGGGGTAACCCGCTTGGCAAACACGGAAGCGCACCCCCCCCTCCAGCCCCGGCCGCGGAGGCTCGCGGCTCGCCACGCTCGGCGGCTGCAGTACGCAGCCCGCTTTAGGGCGCAGGAGCTGCTGGTTGAAATAGGAGCGCGCGCGGCGCTGGGCGAGCGAGCTCGGTCCGCAGCCCAGCTCCGAGAGCTGCGTACACCCGGCCCTGTTCTGTCTCCGACTGTCGGGGCGACGTACAGGCCAGGATCTTGGCAACCTCTCCGGCCAGAGCTGCAGCGCTCTCCCGGGTCTCACGCCGCTTTGGAGCAAGGCGTGAGGCCCGAGTCCCCTATCTCGGGCAACTCCCGGTTTGTTTTCTGATAGGGAAGAAGCGATCAGTCAGCCCGGAGACGACAAGTCGCCTAGATATTGGCTCCATCTCTGAAACCAGTGGCCAAGCCTACGGGTCAATCCCTTCCTCCAACCCACTGCCAACACAACCCCAAAACGTAAAAGTTAACTCAAGTTCTGACCCGTCGTCCAACAAACCCCATCGGTGCAGGCTGTGTTTGCTTATTTATCTGGAAAGGTGATCTGTGTATTCTTAGTCAAACTTGCAGTAATCACTTGTGCATCTGTTTCTGGATTAAACGCACTTCGCCTTGATATTTCCTCCGTGTATCACCCCACCCCCACTCCCGGTCGTTCTTAAAGCTGTTAGACTGCATTCTAAGTAATTTAAAATCTTGCAAACCATCGTCATCAGGTCCTAAACAAACCAATTCTGGGAATTTCAACCAGATCCAATTGAGAGGCAAAGGTGGGCGTGGATTTCAGAAGGATGCAAGAGATCCTAGCTACCTGGACACGCAGACAACACCAACCACCACCACCACCACCACCCCGAAGTAAAGAGGGGACGAGAAAGAAAGAAAAACCAAACGCAGGGTGCAGGCCGGCCTGCTTCAGGCTGTCTAGAGGCAGACCGACCTCCATATTCTCATTCTCATTCTCTCTCTCTCTCTCTCATTATTAACAAAACAAAGCAAAGTGCTCTAAATGAAATGGCCTCCCTCTCTCTCTCTCTCTCTCTCTCTCTCCCCCTGTGCCCAGTGTGACGCCAAGCCCAAACTGGATTTGTTCTGAATATCTGAATGGGGAAGAAGTGAAATGCCACAAGATCAGTGGCAATAGCAGCTGCGGCATTTCTCTCCTGGGAACCCCACTGCTTAGAAGCCTCCCGAGTGATGTTTGTTTAACCAACAGCTTTGAAAGTAAACAGAAGCGAATCACTCGAAAGAAGTTGAAATATAACCCTGACAAGAATTTGGGGTCAGGGTGCTGGCATAAGAAGTAATTTTTAAATGTAATAAACCTCTCACCCCAATAAGGGTGAACCACAATGCCTAAAGGAGCCCAGAACTGTCAGAAATATATCAGTTCATCAAAAGGATTCATTACAATAAAGTGACCTCGAAGATCACTCTTCTCCCCGCAAACATACGCCTGCGGGGAGCGGGGGTTGGTTGTCAGAAACTGAAGGGGCACACGACTACCCGATGGTACGGAAGTGAGCGAAAACAATCAAAAGGAGGTGTGTTCCCTGTCCTGGAGTAGAAGAGGCTGGCAGCTTCGCGCCGCCAGCCCTGGCTTCGCCTCAGGCACCGAACTTTCCAATATCAAGATATTAACAGATGGTGGTGAGCACATGGAGGGCTGTTACTTACATAATCCAGCCACTCTGCCCAGCCGCGCGGAGCCCGGCGAGGCGCCCGCCAGGCCTTGCGCGTGCCTTGCGAGGGGTGCTGTTGCCCCCCGAAATAACCTGCCTTTCTCCAACCCCACCCGGCTCTTTGAGGGATAAGATTTGGAGAGGTCGTGATCTCAAGGAGGAAAAAAAAAAAAAAGAAAACCCCGCACATCGATCTGGTTGTGCTTTATCTTCCTCAGTCCACCGTAGTGAAGAAGCTGGAGACCGAAGGGCAGAGGGGAGCGGAGGGGACGCTTTCGGGGAGAACGGGGTGTTCTCCCTCGGTAGCTGGAGTGGGGGGCAGGTGGTGGAATTTACGCAATTTACACCCCTCCCGCTTTGGCTCAAATTGCCCTATCTTTCGCTGTCACTGAAATACAGAGGCAAGCCCAGGCAGCCGCCGAGGGGGAGTGGGGTGAGTGAGGGTGCGAGTGCGCGGGGACGCCTTTGCACGCGGGGGCGCAGTGGGCAAAGTTACGCAAAGCC